TCCCCGCTGTTGTATGTTTTTGTCTTTTTGCCCTGCGTGAAAGGAGTATTGTAGACTGCCAAGCGTGAAGGCCTCCTTGGAACTAGGTTCCTGATAATGAATTATTGGAGCAGATGGCCATGTGAAAGTGTGAATAACACTGACCGTGAATGGGGAGATAGGTTGCTCTCACGTATATGAATTAAACTCTATTCAACCTCTGTTGTCAATGTGTGATTCACGATAAGGAAGTGTATGAAACAACTCGCCATCCAAATTGAAAAGATTAAATTGTCGCTATGCCATCGATAACTCCAAACCGGCTGGCTGTTGTTAGCTTCATATGTGTTATTGTACAGTTGATTCCTCCGCTGGTTGCTCTCCATCCAAGTGAAGCAAGGCTTTTTAGAATTGATATGCAGGCCCTCGACAGGCGGGTGAAAGGTGTTGCCCCTGAGAGATCAAATCGCTTCAAGGCACCGTATGAGGCGAAAGCTAACCCCTTTGGAAAGGCTCCGACCTTGATTCGACTTCAAGGAGGCTTGTGAGCCCGTGGATAATAAGCTCGTCAGTGGAAGGAAACAATGCTCATAGCCTCGTTACTCCGTCTTCACGAGTCGCCTGACTTCTGTATGAGTCCCCAGTCAAAGCTTCTTTGAGTCACAAAGCTCGGCCACTCCTCGGTGCCTGTAATAGAAACTTCAAGGCTGATTTGAACAGGCTTTGTAGTTGCCTTATTTTCAAGTTCTAAGTTGGTTTTCAGGGCCTGCTTGCGTATGCAATGTTGCTGGGTAAAAGTTGTCGGAGTGTCGTTCGTCCCCGTCGTTTCGAGTAGATACTCAGTCCCTTGGTGCAAGCATGATGACATACTCCCTTGTGCTGTGTCCAAACTGAACCATATCCTTATCTCTCAGCTCCAAATATCTGCTGTCTGGAATCTTGCTATCATTCAGCTTTGTTCCATTGGCGCTTTCAAGATCAATAAGATAAGGCTTGACTTTCCCAATCTTATCGCCAAACTCGTTCCTCTTCTCAACATAACGGAACTGGATCACTGCATGTTGCTTGCTGATACTCGGGTGCTCCGCCGGTAGATCAACGACTGACATCTCTCGTCCGACAAGCCAGCAGCTCCTCGCGCTCAGCTCTATCGTGTCGACAATGTCTTGGCCTTTGAAGATGAAGAGCTTCCAAACGTCGCGTGGTGAAGGCTTACGTGCCTCGGCGGGTTCGTGGTACTTGAGGGTAATGGTCGTGCCATCTGCTTGTGCGACCGAGTTGGACGCTGCGGCCAAGACACCGGTGCTGCCGAAGTTGGGTTTCTCCTTTGGTTTCTCGGGCTCCTCACCGGTGGTAACAGCGAAAGAGTCTGCCTGGGAAGGTAAGGGGCCACCCCGTCTCACAGGGCTACGCTTTGCGATCCGTTTGTCGTTTTTTTCGTCATCTTCGTCGCGTGGTCTTCGTCTTGAACTTTTGTCTTCGCGTGATCTTCGACGTCTGTGTTCTCTATTCCTATCACGATCCCGATCTCGGCTTCTTGACCTTGGTCGTGAGGATGATTCTGGGGTCCTGGATCGTCTCCTGTCGCGTCTGTCGCGTGATCGGCGCCGTTCTCGGCGTCCGGAATCGCGGTCTGAGTGCTTTGATCGACGGTCGGTGTCTCTGTCCTTGCCTCTGGGTTCATTGTCCTCGTCATCGTAGCGCCTTCGGCTAGGCCTACTCCCGCGTTCCTCGTCCGACGCCATTTGTGCAATATTCTGATACAAACTGCGCGCTGTTGAAGAAAGGGCAAAGAAGAAGGGAAAAAAAGATGCAGGTAAGATGACGCAGCTAAGAGATGGTGAAGCTAGGTTCAGACAGATTAGATCTGCACGACAGCTTGAAATTGTGGGAACTATGAAGTGAGTGGCTTATACGCTAAAGTAAAAGTGTGGCTCAAAGCACGTGGGATGCGCTTGCACATGCCATTTATGTAAGAAAAGTTGAGACGAAACTAATTGTCATAAAAAATATCAAAAACTTTAGATAGATAAACTCGATGGATCTGCTCTAGACTACCGATTCTACTACAAAGTAGGTGTACTGTATCGTTTTCATCACCCATGCGCCATCCATTGTACTCCGGTAAGCGCAGTAGCCTCTGCTGTAAATCCATTCCCAAGAGAAAAAAGAGAAAAATCCCGCTGTGGATATCAAATTGAGTCCCATCTCATTTCCCAAAAAGCAAAAGTGTCCGTAGTGTAGAAAAAATCGTCAAGTCATGATGAGAGAGGAGATTGATAGTCAACCCCTCGTTTAAGTGGCGGAAGGAATGGCCATGACGGTTATCCTTGAAGTGTTATCGAGGTAAGCTTCGACATTTGTGTTGAGATCTTCAACACCCTTTCTGACGGTGAGACGCTGCTCATCTTCGTCCCACCATACATCGTCGCCGACCTCGGCGTCGCCAGGGACAAGCAGAAGCATGCCCTTGTTGCTTCCGAGGGCGATCCTGCACGACGAGTCCTTGACGAAGGTCTCGAGGAAGGGGACATCGTAGCCCTGCATCCCCCGCAGAGGTCCCCCACTCTCTACAAAGTCCCTGATGAGATTGCTCTGCTCAAGGCTCCAGAACTGACGGAAATCCTCTGGATGCGAGAAGGCGTCGACGTTGGCGAGGAGCTCAAGCATGCCTGCCATGCCGTTGAGGACGGGGCTGAGAAAGTGGACAAATGAGTTGAGGACCTCTTCACGGGAGTATCTTGGGTCTGCGTTTGTTCTTAGGACTGGTGACATTGTGTTTAGGAGGGTGAGTAGGCGTTCCTGGTTGGCAGGCTGTGGTGTTCGGACGTGGTAGGCCATAGTCAAGAGAGAGACGAGAGAGAAGGTGGATGACATGGAGGACAGAGGAGCCGAGAGACTGGCGATGCTGTCGACGTAGATGGCCTTGTTGGGCTGATTTGAGAGAAGTTTTGAAGGCATGTTGATGTTGTATGTGGTGATATAGTGTGGTGATGTGAGTCTTGGTGTTGAGTATAGTAAGTCTTTAGATAATAGATAGATGAAAAGATGATGAACTAATGGAACAAGTCAGCTTCTGGAAGGAAGAGGCAGAGTATTTCAACAAAAGAAGGAGATCCATTCTATCCAATAGACTAAATCCAAAACAGAAGCGCCGAAAGAAAGGTGTGCAGTGCAGTATTACTATTGTGACGGGACTGTCCCCATCTCCGTAGGCTCCGTTTGGCATATCCATTCTGTGGTGTGTCTCGTCTCCCGTCTGCTATCAGTCTAAGTGGAAAAGACCCTTGCTATAGAATATTACCCAATAAAGTCACTCATGATAGCAAGGTGGTCGATTGACAGGGCTCCAGGCCCCCACGAGAGGAACTACGCATCGGGTAATTCCCATTTTAGCTTGGTTGGATGGCGTGCCTCGCGTTTCCTTCTAGCGCATGTTACAGGGCAGCACGGGCCTGTTGGTCCTGGAGACAGGGCATAAGGTACCTAGTGGAGGTCCATGACTTTTCTGGCCTCCATGTGAAAGTTGTTGAGGCTGGCTGAGGTGGCCTTCCATTCTTTCAGTGACGGAGATGTTGCACAGATGTGATGCTGTGTTAGGGAGTGTTGGTGTCAGTCTGCTGTACACCCAAACCCAAACTCAACTCAAACAAAACAATACTCCAACTGTTCCAAGTTTCGTTTTGTTTGGTTTTACTCTATTTTGTTGATATCAATCAAAATTTAGGTCGACGTCGTATCGTATCCTGTCCTGTCCTGTCCTGTCTCATGTTCGAGACCTCTGTTTGTCACTCGGGCCTTTTTTTTTTTTGTTACTGTCCATACCCAGTTCTTGGCTCGATCTTGCTGTGCCAAGTCTATCTGACTGAACTGGGAGTTAACCCTCCATCATGGGATCAGCTCCCGTCGTTCCCGCGGCTTACGCGCTTCCAACTTTCCTACAACTAATTACTTATTCTCCTTTGGTCGACAACCTCGAGTAATAATTATGTGTGAGAGAAGCCCCCCACTCGCGTTGTTGTGCTTTGCGGGGAGGGGAAGGGAGGAGAGAGGAGAGGAGAGGAGCGGATAAAGAGACTCCATATCAGCCTCTATCTAACTTGGGACTTAGCTCAGGTGTAGAGTCAACTCAACTCAACTCAACTCAACTTGTACCTACTCTCCTCGCGTAACAATCCTGTTTGATCAGCATCCATCTGTTATGCGCTGTACAATTACATAGTACATGATATATCCGATCATGCTGAATATGACGGCTGACTGACTATCTATGACTTCCATGCGGCGTGGTCTTCGGCCAGATTGACCTTGCTCGGCTTCCGTAGCTTCTCACGTTATTCTGCTTCTATATCGATCTGACATGCAACACTATGTTCTATAATCCTCGTCATTCATCGGCACGTACCGTCCACGGCATCATGATTGGCTGGATTGTCTGTGCTATCAAACACAACCCTGAATGTCCTCACCACAAAGTCTCCTGACAAGTACGGCCCTTTTCTGGGTGCTGTAGACTCACAAGAAAAACAGGTGATTCAATCTCGGTGCTACTTAGATTGATGCACCAGATCGCATGTAGATCAGATGTTGATTTTTGACCTGATCTTGATAATGGAGCGTCTGCCGCAGAGCCTCATTCCTTATACCACTACCTAAGTGCCTATACTGTCTGGTATTCATGGTTGAGATTAATCAGACTCTGACTATCAACACTACAAGGTTGTTCTGAGCTATTCTGGGTCATACTTTGCTACACGTTTTGTTGCATGCTTAAAATAACTTGACCCTCTCTCGAATACGCACAAGCAAACTGTTTGTCTGTTATCTTGTATGACATATGAATCCCGTGATTTTTCTTTCCTTCTTTCTAGAATATCGTGACTCCGCGGGCCGATTCTCCCTATTATCTGGGTCTTTATTGTCCCTGCTTTAAGAAGCGGGTCTGGGTCCGTCAGAACGTGCCACCAGAGCGGTAAGCATTTGTTACCCAGGCACAGTAAATTATATAGAGTGTTAATGATCAAGTCTCTATAATGACCTTGACTCTCTGCTATGATACTTTGATCAGCGTGGGGGTGACTCCTGATCGATATCAAGCTTAGGTATTAGTTTCTCCAACACCAAACTGTTTGAAGGATTCTTGTTGGTCTGAAGATCTTGTCGATCCCTGAAACGCAGGGTCGTCTATCATCTGCCGTGTTGCTAAAAACGAGCAGGGCTGTGAGTCTGTGAGTCTTCGAGTCTCAAGTTCGCCTCACACATTCTTGATCAGCTATGACAGCACAGTCATATAGATCGACCACGTGCGACTTGAATACCGCAACTTAGAATTATGCTTAGTTTATTGGCGCCTGAATGAGTACATACGTACATACATTCACCGCACGCGGTGTTATCATTCATGCCCGAAGAGTCACTCGGTTCGGCTCGGACTTGTTACCATCTCCGCGCTATGCATAGCAATAATCGAACTCCGGTAAGAGCGTCTATTATTATGCATCTCAATTTGCTCACAAAACCTCCGTGGAATTGAACTATTCGTGGTTGTGATGGTTTCATATTGAGCAAGTCTCGTCACTTACACCGAGTGACTCAGCCGGTTGGTTTACTTGCAAGACTAGCCTCAGGAGAGACGAGCAAGACTTCAGCTTCAACATTCAAACGTCCATCTCTCAACTTCGACAATATTCTGGGAAAACTGAATAGACTATACATAACATGAACTGATAGCGTCAACCGTTTTCAAAAAATTATCACTTGCTCAATAAATAATTGTGAAATCAATTACGTCACTAATTCAAGCTTGACCTCACATTCTGCCCAGTACTGTAATGTAACACCATATACATCACACAACAAGATCATTCTCAGCTATGTCGGTCAACGAAAACCCTGAAAACTACGCCCTCTTCAGGGACTGCTTATCCACAACCCTCCTTCAACCTGCTTCCTCGACCCCGGACCCGCCGAAACGCCGTCGGCGCCGCAAGAACTCCGGCGCTGCCCCGGCCGTTGCAGCATCCACTCCGGCTCCGAATCCGGAAAGGGACGCCGAAGAGCTGGCGGACTTTGTCGACTATCTTTCTACAGAGATATTCGAGAATCTACCCGATGAGCTGCAGACGTTGGAGTACCGAACCTGGAGAGATGACCAGGCGTTGCAAGAGCAGTACTCTATGCCTCTCACAAAGGAGAGTCTCTCGGTGTTAAACCTCCCACCATCTGTCGTTGAAACGTTAACGACATACAACCTTATCTCTGCCAATCCTGACACGGCATCTCATCTCCCATCCTCCCCAGAAGCTTTCCTCCTCCCTATCATAACCTCGTACATCACGCCCCTGATCGAACCACCTCCCGCTACACGTGCCACCCGCGCTGACGCCTGCGAACTTTGTGCTCGGTCGTGGGTTCCTCTGTCATACCATCATCTCATCCCAAGATTCGTGCACGAAAAGGCCGTCAAGCGAGGATGGCACCGCAAGGAGGACCTGCAGAATGTAGCCTGGCTGTGCGGTGCTTGTCATCGGTTTGTGCATAATTTCAAGACTCACGAGGAGCTTGCAAGGGATTACTATACTGTCGATCTGTTGTTGGAGGAGGAAGAGGTCCAGCGCTGGGCTGCCTGGGTTGGGAAGTTGAGATGGAAGGGGAGGTAGTCTAAGCATCTAGAGTGACTGTATAACACTTTGCATTTGGAATTAGCATCACATTCGAATTAAATTGTGCATTGTATTGTTCTCTTCCAATCAATCATGTAAATATGCGTAGAGACGTGCTGAGTGCTTCACTTGGTCGCATCGCTTATCAACATTCTGTTTATAGAAACCTATTATTCGGCATTAGCCATGTACCATTGACTAAAGTATGTACGAACAAAGTCAATAATACAACCAAGATTCATACGCAAGTTGTTCCAAGATAACCCCTCGTGGAGTTTTCTCCATTCGAAACAATATAAAAATAGATAGGCTCCAAAACCATTTCGTCACTCTCAACCCAACCCATTTTGACTTTCCAGTCCATTCCTTCGCTTAACGCGACAGCTAATCCTTATCGTCAATTTGTTGAGATAATCTAAACGTCGTTGAGAGACTAGAATTGTATCAGACATCAATAGTATCATTTTGTTGAGATAACCCCGAGGCGACAACCCAGCTGTTCCAGGGTATGCCACCTGGTAGGCGCGTAAGACAGAGGCGTTCATCTCAGGGTGATATTGCATATGCTTCTGCAGGTGGTAAATCAATAATAGTCCAAACTGGCATTGAGTGCCATCTGGCTACAGCTTGACCTTATCCACCGAGTTCAGTGTGTGGTTGTATATCACCTTTCCGGTGTTTGTGTAATATTTCTATACCAAATTAATCATGGTCCTCCTCAGTCGGTCCAGGACATCCGTCCATCTCAGCGTCAGGATACGCCATCTTACACCAGAAACAATACTGATGCTTCTCTCTCAGATATTCCAAAATCCTTCTCAGTCTCTCCCCAATCTCAAGTTCATTGAACTGGTCCAACTCCTCGTCTTCTTCATCAAGATCCTCGGCCGTGGCATACACAGTGTGTCCCTTGCCCAAAGCCCTCTTATCGTCTTCATCCTCGTGGTCATCTTCGTAGGTCGGTAGTCTTGATAGTGACTGCTCGAGATCATATCGCATGCGTCTATCACGCTCGGCTTCTTCTCTGTGCCTTACTAGGCTGCGATATAGAAGGGGTATCGATTTGAGAGGACGTGACGATGTTGGCGCTGACTTTTCGAATGTGTCGTTTGTTGTCGATGTTTGTGCTTCAGATCCAGAAACTTCCGTCTTTTCATCGTCCATCCTCTCTGCCGTACGCTGAGCCGCAAAGAACTGCTTTTCCAACCTCGCGTCCTCACGTTCTTTCCTCACACGTTCGCGGTACTCATCAGGATCCATCTTAGCAGCCTTGATATCCCTTTCTTCAGCCGCTTCTCTAATCTTGCGCTTCTTCTCATTGTCCAGGCCAATACCACCGCGATCATCCTTGACACTGACTTTAATCGGTTCCGTCCGACCAGGCGCAGCACCTTCGTCTGTCTTCTTTCCCAGACCGCCGCCTGTAAAACCCATCTTTGCCATCATGGCAAAACCTTTGCTCTTCTTGGCCTTTGCGTCGTCCAACATCGAAGTCGAGAGAGCCTTTTCGCGAGCGGCTTCTTCCTCTTCTGCAATCTGCTCTTTAGATTTAATATTTCCTCGGGCGCGTGATTCGCGCTTTAGTCGTTGCGTGCGTTGTAGGGATGTCTCTTTAATGGGTGCAGGCTCGTCGAAGGACATATTCATGTAGTCATCCTCTTCTTCATCTGGCGCGCCTGCCCCGTTCTTTTGCTCATTAGTCATGATGGGCAATTCCTCTTATTGTATCCGAGTATGAGTAGAGTGAGTTGGAGATGAAATTAGTAGTGTTGGTTGTTGTTTGTGATGATTAAAGATTCAATGTTGAAATTCGCAGACTGTTCCCAGCATGGTTATGATTATAGAGGGCTCCACTAATTTTTGGTGGCTCAGGCCTGTAGACTTCAAGCCGACCTTTGTCACTGAACAAGAAATATATACACTGCAACATTCTTTCACTATTATTTATAACGAAACTCATGGCTACACGAGTTGACTTCATATCTACGTCTCGGGTCCAAGTTACTAAACAGTTTCTGTGCTGATCCAAGAGATGCGACTACAGTCAGAGAAAGATGGACAAATGAATATACGAATAATGTATGGTATCCTACGCCAAAACCTATGCCGCCATGTCCATTTACCTGTGATTGGCCCTCTTTCTCGCAGACTTTTCCCTTTCGTATGCGTTCGACTCGCGACCCTCCTCGCTCTGAATCTCGGCAACGAGTCGCTTGTACTTCTTCTCGTAAGCCTCGTCCTTCGCCTTCTTGACACGCAGCTTCTCTCTCGCCATGAAGTTGGCATCCTTGCGCAGCTCCCGCATAGCACCCTTGCGCTCCCTCTTGTGCTCCTTCTTGAGCTTGGCCATCTCTGCGCGCTCGCGGTCTGGATCGTAGTGCTTGTCTGGGTCGAACGTCTCCTCGAACTTGGGGATGTACGTCTTGATCGCCAGAGGACGGTGGTGGTGGAGCTCTGTGTTGCGACGAGATAGTTGAGCGACCTTGAGCATGCGGTCGAACTTGGCCAGCAGTTTCTCAACCTTATCATTCAGAGCTGCAGGCAATTGGGCCCGGCAAGTCTTGCTGTTGAGGTGCTTGAACACGTTCGCAGCCTGGCTAAAAGTCTCAAGGAATGCGTTCTTGCCAGTCCACAAGTCTGCAGCAGCCTCCAAGATTGACGCTGTGGTGTCGATGATGGCAACCTTGCGAGCTGACACTTCCGACTTCTCTGTCGCACCATCGATACAATCCGAGAAACTTAGTTTCCGCAACTTGATCTCATCCGCGGCCTTCGCACGAACACCAGCAGGAGCTTTGTGAAGAGGAAAGTTTCCGAGGTCCTTGGAGGAAGCAACAGGCGCAAGAGCACAGAGGGAGTTCAGTGTAAAGTTAATGACCTCAGGAATATAGCGCTTTGCAAGCTTCTGGTAGCTGAGAGCGAGCATTGATAGATAGGCACCGACAGCATAATGCGCCAGATTCTGTGGCACCTTCTGCCCGAGATATCGCGTAATTGTCAGGAGAGCAGGAGTGGCAACCTGGTGAAAGTGATCGGATGTAGGGAAGATGGTAGCAACGGCTGTCAACAGAATGAGGTCTCCGGGTCCCAGGTTCAATGGTCTCGATGTGCTAATCTCCTCAATGTTCTGACTGAACTGCTTGCCAATTTCGATGGGGAACATCTTAGAAAGAGAGTGGATATGTCGGACAATGCTTTCAAGCACAGTAAAAGGGGCAGAAGTTGCGGGATCCCAAGATGAACCGATGTAATCGACTAAAGAAGTGGCGAAGTTGCCCAACTTCTCCTTGTTCTTGCTGCTGAGCTTGGGGTGGTAGAGGGCACGAATTCTCTGAACGATAGTAGGGTAGGTCTTGGTTGGGTATGGCGCCAAGGTAGCCTTCAACTCGTCGCAGGTTTGGGGGCACTCAAAGGTATAAGGAAGACCCTGCTCGTCGCCCTTCTGGATCGCCGAGGCTTTTGTGTTAGAATCGGCGTCGAAGACAGGATTTCGGCTCTCTTCCTCGTTAAGCAGACCTTTGGTGAAATCATCCTCCTCGTCCTCATCTTCAGCTTCCTCATCGGATTCATCTTCCATCGATTCATCGTCACTGCCAACAGGCTCCACATCAGATCCGTCTGCCACAAGATCATCGTCGATGATGAAATCGTCCTCATCGTCGAATCCCAGTTCTGTGGCTGTAGGACGAGCTCGGATGCCACTACCGAGGCCAAAATCCTCTTCGTCATCCAGGTCCATCTCGTCTTGCTCGGGCTTCTTGCCCTTGTTATTCACTTCGTCGTCCTCACTATCGCTGACCGACTCTCCTCGCATACGTCTCTGGCGCTTGTCTTCAAGCTCCTTCAATCTCTTAGACTCCTCTTCGGCCTTCTCTTCCTCAGTCTTGGTACGGTCTGCAGGCTGAGCTCTCTTGTCCTGAGCAAGCTTCTTTACTTGGAGATCGAAGTTCTTCTCGAAAGCATCGCGGTCGACGCCGGCAATCTTGGATGCGACACCACCATCAGCCTGAGGCTTGTCATCTCGTCGAATGTGATGCAACATGTACTGGATGTTTTGGAGCTCCTTGTCGAGTTGTTCTCGGAGCTCTTCGTCCTCCTCCTTTGCCGCTTGTCGTTCTTGTTTGTAGTACTTAGACTTGGCAATAACCTCCTCCATTACCTCTTTCTTCGTCTTCTTTCGTTCAGGTTCACCGTTCTCCTCATCTTCTCCATCGCTACCCTCTGCCGCCAATGCTCGAATACGCTTTAATCTTTGTCGCTCACGGACTGAACCATCGCTGTCGTAATCCTCGTCCAAGTCGTCTTCCTTGAAATCGTCCAAGTCGTCGAAATTGATAGATTTGCCCATATGTGTCAGGCTCTCCGATGGTTCATCGTCTTCTAGGTCAAACATGGAATTCTTCTTGTGGCTTCTCTGCTTCTCGCGGGCGAATCGTTCCAGCATCTTGTCCTCTGGAGCCATTGTCGGATCGTTTTCACCGAATCGACGATCGAGAATTCCACCGACTTTGTTTCGGCGCTGCATCTCAACCAGGAGGGTTTGTCGACGCTATTATACTGATTAGTTTACTACTTGGGAGTCATGGCTATGCGACTCACCCTCTCTTCGCTGGCTGCCTTGGCTTGACCAGGTCGTCCTTTGATGCTGCCAGCGGTCAAAGTAGGTCGGTTACTGGTAACCTCAAACTTGGGACCCTTGGCATGCTTCAGATCAAAAGGATTGAACTGTTCGCGAATGCCCTCGAGAACAACTCCTCGCTGGAGTCGCTTATCATTGCGGCCGCGCTCATCCTGGGCATTGCGTCGTTTCTGCTTCTTCGACTGCTGAGGACCGACAATTCCTTGCTCTTTGAGCGACGCCTTGAGGCGTTTAAGCTGTGAGCCGGCCATAGCGATGATATATGCTGATGGTGTTCGATGCGCCCAGCCAGCGACTGTGGATTTTTTTGCGATAGAGAAAAAAAAGTCCAGTCTTATCGTTATCAAAAGTGGAACCGTTCGAGGCTAAGCTCCACCGACGGGAAGTCTAACCTGATAAGATTTGTCTTGGGCGGTGAGTCTATGCAGAATAACTTACGTCAGGAGCTCCGGGGTATTCAACTTAGCTGTCGCGAACTTGAATTATGAGCTCCGTAACGAAGCATGAACTCAACAAACAAAATCATTAGTCAAGATGGGATGGGCTGACAGCCTCCTCGCGTTTGCTCGCGATGAGAGAGTGGTTCTCGTGACCTTGGGTCTCGCTACTTTTGGTGTTGTGAGTACAGTATTTACTGCACTCACAGTCATTCGCGACGACAATGAAATTCCCCCACCACAGCCTAAGACGCAGTACATTACTCAGGATACCGAGGATTCATTAAAGATCGAGACTCTTGAGAAACTATTGGATCATCCGAACTTCTCCATCAGAGAGGTCGCAATCAAGATTCTTTGCGATCGAGCCGTCAACGATCCTGAGACAACTCATACACTGCTTTTTGGCATCACCCGGCCAGATTATGATGAGAGGATGCGATGCCTTCGGGCGTTAGCTCTGCTTACTGGACAGACTATTGGTAAGAAACACCACTCACTCACAATCCGGAACATAACTGACAACTCCAGGTTTGGACGGTCTTTCCAAATTACACAATCCCAAAGCCTACTCCGCGCTGGTCAGGTCTTTGGAGCTGAGTTTGGACGATATCGAGCGACCGGATCTCACCGACAGCCATTGGGACGAGTACTACCTCCGCGACATGGCCGAGAGATTCTGCCTGATGTTCATTCTGGAGCTCGTCAACAAGTACGGCGCTATCTTGCTGATCAAGGCACGCTTTGTCGAAAAGTGGCTAGCAAAGCAAGATTGGGGTGCCACCCCGGAAGAGAGACGCCGCAGCTTCAAGGACTATATGACGCTTAAGGCAAACAGAATTGTCGAAATTGTTGATCGAATCAAGGAGAACAGACGAGGTCTCCGGGCTTTGGAGAAAGCAGGGTTGATTGACAAGGAAAACTCGAGACGCAGGATTCGAGAGTTGCCGGACCTCATTATGGAGATTGAAGAAGAAGCAGGGAACGTACCGGTTGTCGAATCACAGGTCACGCGTACAAGGGAGCATTCTGCTGAAGAACAGCGACTGCGACGCCAACACCGAGAGGCAATGGTACTCAATGATGGTACTCGACCATTGGCGCGCGAAGATATTATCGAGCGAGAACATACTTCACCAGCATAGCAATCGTGACAGGAGATACCCAATATGATAACAATGAGCCTCTAAGAGAGACTTGTATGAGATTGCTCTATTCATCCGTATAGCCAGCCAGTCATTGATATTGACAAATTCAGATACCAGTTCCATCGGAATCACATTCTATCTTGTTACCTTGAAGGGGCAGTTCACTGTGAATATTCAGGATACAGATGGTTGGTCGTATTGAGAAAAAAGAAAACGTGCTGTTATACTTACTTACCTACTTGCTGACAGTCAAAAAAAGATGAATCAATGCGCCATCTAAACTCCTAGCCCATTGTTCTTGTCTACCCCGACTCAGTCATTTTTGTACTGCTCCAATTCCTTCTCTGCTGGAGCACGGCTTTTCTGAAGAACTTGCAACAGACCGTCCTTAGGAGTATCATCTTTAGCAGGTCCAGCCTGCAAGTCAGACCTCTCTTCTCGATGTTAGCAGCGGGAATATTTTCAACCAACTCCTTTTCAAAGCCAGATTCCTCAAGTATTCATGTCGCACGATCACTGGGGGTTGTTGGCTGGGGACGCAGACTCTGTGGCGCCCCATTTTGCTTCCTCGGCTCTCTCCCCCTTCAGGAACGGGTGAGTTCTCTTCCTGCGACATAAATTCTTATGAAGGCCAGCGATTTCTACCTCGCTGATCCGAGTACAGAACTCTTGATTATCATCGGGCCGACAACTTAGTTGGTCGATGTCACCCTCCAGCTCCGACACTGTGTTGACTCTGTGAGTCCAAAAGTCGTAATCGTCTTCTAACCCGAGAAAGGTAAAAAGTCCTCGCAGAAGGTTCGGATCGAGGGCGCCTGGCTGTTGGGACCGTACCACTGTGGCCAAGAACGGCTCCCATTTCTCGCTAGGAGCTTTGTCTGCAAACCTGAAGAGAGCTGTCAAGAGCTGGCCCCAGCGGATGATCAGGTCCGGATCCAAGGTACCCTCCAGATAACGAAACTCAACAGTTTCATTCAAAGATCTCCACTTTGGTAGAAAGATGCAGCTCTTTTCAAAACCAAAGCCACTAGGGTTGAGTAACACCTGAAGTTCCTTTGCGTCCTTGGCATTCCATATCTTCTTCAACGGGCCCAAGACGGAAGGAAACGACGCCATACTGCGCGGAACATATTGCCAAAAGTCACTTGCAACCTCAAGATGTTGCCATCTCTCGTTGTAGTTGTCGTGCAAGAATGATCCCTCTCCCAGGATATTCAACGCCCATTTGTTTCTCCTTCTACTAGGATGACAGAGACGAAGGATCACGTCTTCCACGCAGCACATGAGTATGCAGAGCTTACGCAGTAGGTGAGTTGATAGTGTCTCCAGGCCCTTAGCGACGTGGATGTGGAAGCCACAGTTGTTGGTCTCAAGCAGTCTAAAATTGTTTCTCAGGCTGCTCAACACATTTACAACTTTCTCCCAACTTGTTGCCTTATCCTGCAGAACAGAACTCACTACCTCGATACCATTCGCACTCTCGTAGCCTGCCCAATTTTTAAACGCATGGAGAGAGCCATCAGTCGTAACGGTCCATGTTTGGTACTTGTGATCAATGCCGGCAGTAGGGACGAGGTTATGCTCAACAAGCATTTTTAGCCATGCAGTCTGATCAAAATCCAGCCCATCGTGCATAGCTGTATTCGTAGCCAACAGTCCGTTTTTCGTGAGTACTGCTGCTATATGGTCTACTGTTTCTGTAGGAGAAGAGAGACCAGTCTGTCTATCGTCTTTAGAGTGCGGGTCAATACAGACACTGGCGTCTGCACTGTCGTTAAGATCGAGCAGTAGGCTTGGTGGCGGAGACTTGGGGCGATATCGCTTCGTTGGGATGTACATTTCAAGCTCAATACCGAAAGAATAAATGTTCCTGGCTGGGCGACTGGGTGTGAAGTCACTATCGAGAAATGAAGTCGTGGTAGAGAAACCATCTGAGCTCGACAAAGAGTCCTCATTTCGAAATGAAACGGCCTCAGATACTATAGGCTATCGGTCCAGATCTGGTATCTTGTTAGTTTGCAACTTTGCCTCAAAGTAAGCAGCAGGCTCACGCAAGCCATTTTCTCTGAGGAAAGCAAAGATGCTAGAACTGTATCTGAGTCTGGGATACGAATCAGAAATCGAGGCACCATTCTTCCCGATGCTGAGTTGAATAATACCTACACAAAAGGCAATCCAATTATCGATTCCATCATAGTCGAGAGTTCCACAATGTTGATTGAACCAGATCGCCAGACCGCCAGACTCATCAGGCAGTTCAAAGCGATAAGCAGGCGAGGCTTGGGGATAGTCCTTGGCATCGTGAATGGAAACATTCATAAGATCTATGAGATCGTCCAACGAGTCAGCACCGAGTATCTTATCAACTGCATCAAGATAATTTGCCTCTTTCAGCTCTTCAGGGTGCGAGAGAAGCTCCAGTGGGCGTCGGTTGGGCGAAAGATGGTTGTTCCAGGGGTCTTCAGTTCGAACCGTGGAGGACAGCTGCGCCTTGAGACTGAGGGGAGATTCGTCTCTGATAAGCTTACTGTATTGCAGCCCCAGTGAAGATGTAGAGTTGGGGCCACAGTGAGGAGGATGAACATCGCCTAGGAGAGGGTCAGCAATCCATATCAAAGCTACAATGGCCTTCATTTGTTCAGAGGTAGCATCATGTGTATTCAAATACACAGCAACCTTGAGGCGCGTCTCAGCGGTTGATACAGTAAGATACTTCTTGTTGAGGATGATCAATATCTTCTTCAACTGCTTTTTCATGTCCAGGTTTGCGCTTGCATTCTCGAAGCTGAATTTGGGAGATGTCAGTTTCACTCCAACCCAATCAAACTGATCAGCTTGGTTTTCTTCAACATGTCCATCAAACTCAACTGTCCATTCTTTGAGCGAGATTTTGGCTTCTTGTTTTTGGTGAATGCTTCTCAGTGGTGAGTGACTGTGCCTGCGTCCTTGTAGCTCATCGACCAGCACTTCAATGGTCCATTGCGCACGGTTGAGGCATTGTCGCTCCAAGTGTGGGAATTTGTCAGCGTTTGGGGGTACTCGGTCGAATTTACTCTTGCCAGGAGGTTGTGGGATAGGTTTCCCAGGATGCTGTGGGATTTCGTTATATTGAAAATCTTCTCTTTTGTCTGGCCGGTTAACTGCGACAAGAAATCCAAGTTGCACTTGGACTTCAGGTATTCGAAAAGCCATGATATCTGCTGTGTGTGATTTCCTTGCCATGCACTAAGAGTTGAGTTAACTTGACAAATAGGTGTCGAATGATTTTCGTAGGGTACAGTACTGAGTAATTGGAAGTTTATGATAGATACCGGAGTTGATCAAGAAGCGGGAAACATGATACAATATAGAAGAAGAGAACAGTGATCCTTGTATCGTAACTAGTAATGTTTACGATCTATGTCCAGAACACCATCATAAACAGAAGAACAATGCTCTATTGCTGTTGATGCGTTGGAATTCGGCTCTTTGATTGGTGTTATTGTTCCTTCATATAGAACTGGTAGTATAAAGAACATTTGAGCAGATGCTTTGTTCTAGTTGTAGTCAAACGTCAAGATACAATGTACTCTATATGATTGACCGGCCAGCAATTCCGCAGGCTCTCGAGGTCTTTCTGTCTCTATTCCGTTTCCTTTTCATCATGTTTGGCTTCCTTCAGTTTCTTGATAGGCTCCAGGCCAAATATTTCATCCGAGTTCAAAGGATTGCGGTTTTCCGTAACTTCACCAAACAAGAAAGCATTCTTTTCGCGATTAGCGCTGTTTGAAATTCTTTTCTTGTGCTGTGGTGGTGGTGACTTGTTCGACGACGCAGGGGTCTTAGAAGGTCCAGATTCGTCCGGCTCTAACATCCAAGAGAAGGATGACTGAGCCAATGTTGATCGGGTTGGGACAGGACCTGGCCGAGAAGATGGTAGTAAACTCGCAGATTTGTTCTCCTGAGCCGTGGCTATCTCCGTTCGATTAGGACTAGAAGGTTGCACTGGCTCTTCTTTAGGGGCTGGTTTTGGCTCAGATATTTGCAGACCAGAGACGTCTAGTTCTGCTGGTGCCGCTTGTACTGGCTCTGGTTGAACGATAGCCGTCTCTGCTACGACCACTTCCTGCGGAGCCTCCTCGGATGGCGGTGAGTGTAAAACCGGCACCTCCATTGAAGGGTCGTCTAGATAGATCTTGACGAACTGTACTTTAGCTGCCGCAATTTCTATAAGCTCAAGACTTTTAGCCTTGTCTTCTAGACTGGATGCAGAAATCGCTTTGAGGTTTTCAACTGTCTCGTCGAGCATGGCTGCTAGATGTTGGTTCCGGATTTCCAATGCTGTAAGGCTCCTGGCTGCTTCCCCTTCACCCATCAAGGGCTGTGGTGTTCTGGGCGCAGAACGGGCTTCATTTATGTTGCGTTTGATCTCTCCCATGGCATCTCTAACGGCCTGGTTGATACCCAGCTTTTCGCCCCTTTCGAATACTCCTTTAGCCCCCTTGGCGGCTCCTTGGAATAAGGCTTCCATGCCGCCCTGTTGCTGGATAAACCTGGAAGGTGATGCTATCTGCGACCTCGAGCCTGGTACCTTTTGTTTAAACGAATTGAAACCACGGAAGCTAGGGGTGCCCGTTCTTGAGGTCTGTGGCGGTGATGAATATGCTTCGGGCATCCTCCCGGTGTATTTCATTATGAGCGAAGATCCCCCTGATTGGTCGAGATGATCCTTGAGATACAATGCGTCTTCAACAAATGTGTGAGGACCATAAGCACCCGAGGGCGGTGGGTACTTGAGAAGTAGCTGAAGACAGACAGAATAATCGGCCTCCAATACTAGGCAACATGTCAGCCTTGAAACCAAAGTTTATTATAGCACTTACACTCCCATCGAATTCTTATTAGCATGGAAACACAGATAAGATCTATAAGCTCCAGAGTCGGATCGACAGCAAAGATGGTGTCCCAAAGTACCAGGAATTGTTCAAAAGGATATTCTCTACTGAAGAGCAATCGAATCCATCGACTATTAATATTAGTAATGAGAAAAGGTGGAATGAGCAACAGGGACTAACATCAAGAAGATCTGTGGTAAAATCTCAATGTTGGTAAGGTGAGTAGCAAGTTCCGGATCGATCTTTTGTAGACAGACTTCGTGGATAAATTTACTTCGCTCGACAATGGCGGAGCTTTGTTCTGGGAACTTCGAAGGTCGTAAAGAGTTTGCGGGTGTTGCAGGGTTATCCTTAACTTCGTAGAACGACTGGGCACGCTCCATCAGTTTGGAGAATAAGATGAAGGCATCGTGCTCGACGAAAGCATGGTCGAGAGTTTTGATGAGGGCATCGTCAGTAGGAATGTCTTCTGGTAAGGTCGTAGGGTCCACAGAATCTTGTTCAATGACATGCAGAATAGGCGCGAGCAATTCATGCATCCCTTGGCGATAGCCTCCTCGCTCAGGATTAAGCTTGCAGTACATGAAAAGGATGTCTATGATAGTTGCCTGAGTCTGCTCTTCGTGGTAAGATGCTTCATCAGGTAACCGCTGAACATCTTGCTGTATCTCGGCGCGGACAATCTCATCTTGACGAATAGTGTTCCAAGGTGACTCGGTTTAGTTAGTCCGCTGTCCATTCTTCAAGCATGGAGACACCTTACGCTTGGATCTTCGTTCAAAGGATCAATATTCAACTCCGCAAGGGCCTCCGGATGCTTGATATACTTGAGAAAGTGGTCCCTTTGTTCTGTATAAGAATGCCTCCCGTCGTCTAGAACCTGAGACCAGCTCAAGCCCTCGGCAGCAGTCGATAGAAGGAAGGTCTACAGTAATACGTCAACTGATGAATTGGCCACTAACAACACAGAGTAAGGCAACTCACTTTCCAGCAAAGAGAGCGACAGCCAGATATGCAAGGGCTTGACGGACCATTAGACTGAACAGCGCGGCGGAGATCGCCAAGATGTGCGCCTTGGGATTGTGTTTCACGCCATCTTGAGCTGCGGACAGAGCAGAGTCAGCTGAGTAGGTTCTAGACTTGTTTCTTGTCGCTAATAGGCGCAACCTACAGCGACTCTTCGAGAGGTCTCATGCTGTTCAGCAACACTTAGAGAAAAGCCAAAAAGCCAAGTTGATGGGATCGTGAGTAAAGTCTTAGACGGTAGATGAATGGATGTTTGATGGCGGAGGATGAACCCGAAACCTTGATCTATCGGCGCTTCAGGTTCAATTGGGTTGCCGTCTCCGTCTTCGGCCCCACTCTTTCAGAGCCCGCCCACCACGCGGACGGACAAATTCCAGCGCTCAAGTCGCCTGGAAGTTCAGGGGCTGACCGCCAAACAAATAGTGTCATATCACCTCTACCTCAAGGCCATGCCAATGCACCTCTCGATTCTGCGAGCTGACGTTGACGTGCCTTTCCCCTTTAGCCTCAACTCCATATATATAACAAATATCGTGACTCGCGATCGCTGAGTGATGCCTCATTAGACACTACATCATGTCTGCAGATCTCTTTGCCGAGTTCAATAGTCTTTCAGACAATTCAACTCCTGCCTCAACTCAGCAGAAGACCACACCTTTTCTATCTCAACCTCAACCTCAAGCGCAGCAGCAAAAGCAACAGCCACAACCGCCAAAGCCGTTACAGCGTGCCGATACTCAGAATTTTTTTGATCTCCTAGGAAAGACCAACAATTCTTCGCCAGTGAACGGCCAGTCATGGTCAGGCTTCCAGTCTCAGTCTCAGTCAACCGCTCAGAATGCATGGGGAAGTGCCCCAGTCCCGTCGAAGCCGGCGGAGACGAACGACGACGATGATGATGGATGGGGCGATTTCGAGGTAGCTGAATCTTCACCAAATCCAACGGTTAATGCGGCTCCTGCTCAAACTCCAAGCCCTGCTCCCTTCTCTGCTTCGGGATGGGGCACCGGTGGAAGTAATGCTCCAGTCTCGGCGAACCCATCATCCATACCATGGCCCAAGACAAACCCAGGCTCGGCTGAAGCCATTGCCCAGCGAGCACCCGGTATCAAGCAGCAGCCACCAACTAGAATTGTGAGAGCGTCCACAATGGACTTATGGTCTAACAGTCTTGTCGATATCGAAGCTTTGCAGAAGTCAACCAGCAGCAGATCGACGCCTCAACCTTTATCTCAGCCTTCCAGTTCGCAATCCCATTCGCAGCCACAGTCACAGGCACAGTCGCAGTTCACGCAAGGCTGGGGCCAAGGGACAACTAACCAAGAACCGAAACACCAACGAATGAAAGCCAAGCTTAAAGCTTCTGCTCAGAAAGACCCTAGCGTGCTTTTTGATGCAGAGGACTTTGAGCTTCAGGTCGCCGAGGATGACGAAGATGAGGATGAGGATGAGGATGATTTTGGGGATTTCGAAAGTGTCCCTCCTCCAACCGCAACCAAGATGGCCTCCTCAGCTGCTCCCGGGAAGCCGGCGCCGGCTCCTCCATCAATGGATCTTCTCTCTTTAGACGAGGCGGCTCCAGCTCAACCTCAACCTCAACAGACCAGAAAAGCACCACCTACCCAGCTTCTCGGACCTCTAGCATTTGGAGCTACTGCTACAAACTATCCTCAAGCACCAAAATCACCGTCCTTTCAGGATCGTAATCCTTTCCCAGAACTTGCTATCAAAACACCCACAGAACCAAAAGAAGTAAAGAAGCCAAAAGAAGAGACCCCAACTACAGCATGGCCATCTTATGAAAGCCCAGTGGATCGTAACCCGGTCAAATACAAGGAACAAGAAGAAGAGTGGGGTGACTGGGATGATTTCTCGGCCGTTGACAGCAAGAAGGCGACTGCCAGCGCAAGGAATGCGCCTGAAAGCTGGGAATGGGATGCTGCTGACAATGTTCAATCATCGCACAGCGATTCTCAGGGGGATGCTCCTCCACCAATTAACGTTCCACCTCCTTCGGTTATCCTCTCCGCATTCCCTGATCTCTTGAGATCCGGCACTGCACTATTCAAACCAGTGTCTGGCCAGAGTGCGTCCATCAAGCAACGCATTCTGTCGGACCCAAAAGCAGTAGACTTCCTCCAAGGTTACGTTCTCTTAGCTGAAACAGCTGCGCACGTCATCGCTGGACGTAAACAACGCTGGCATCGAGATAAGATTCTTGCCAAAAGCATGTCAATTTCAGCTGCTGGGAGCAAGGGCATGAAACTTGCGGGAGTCGACAAAACACAAGCTGTACGCGAGGATCGTGAGGCTGCGGATGTGGTAGCTGTATGGCGTCAACAAGTTGGCCCTCTACGATCTGCAGTTGCTGCGGCCAAGTCGGCCGATAAGGGTCAAGGGCTAAAAGTACCTGAGATTAGCGAGAACATGCAAGTGCATACGGCTAGAATGGTACCGACAGCCCCCAAAGCTTGTATCATCTGCGGACTGAAGAGGGAAGAGAGAGTGGCCAAGGTGGACGTTGAGGTAGAAGATAGCTTCGGGGAGTGGTGGGTTGATCACTGGGGACATAAAGCGTGCAAGAATTTTTGGATAGAGCATGAGCAAAAGCTGCGACAACGATGAAAGTCGACACTTTTCAGTCTACGCATATAACGGAAGTTTTGGCATTCAATACCAACATACCTAACATTGGCATATTACTTCTTCTACCATGTACGCCATTCAGCTATAGATGGCGTGTACAGGAACGAGAAGTCCGAGGTTGTCAGTGACAGTACATACAGTCAATGTGGACAATAAACAGCAGGGGTTTGATGTTGCCCAAGACGTGATACTTGGTAACTTATGCAGTCTGCAGCAGCGTTGCTCCACAAACCTTGAGGTTGAACAACCAATCCCCGGAGGCAACAACTGCAGCCAAGTGATGTAAAGTGTGAGCGTCACTTATTGGAGCTACCTAGTTACAGCCAAGTCGTGTGCTCTTTGAGTGACAATGTGTGATGAGAAATTATTGGCTCAGCATTGTTCGTTTACTGCTGAACAACAAGCAAGCCAGCTCGTTGTTGATGCTTTGCGGGGTCAGACCGTTGCACGACCTTTTGGTCTGGAGAAGAACGAACATTGAAGTTTTAACTTGTCGAAAGGACCTGCCTGCTTTGCCGTTAAGGTAGGATTTTAGTGTTAGACGAGCCAAAATTGCAGCGTGGTGGCCGAGGAATACAAAGTGATGGCGAATAAGACTCTTCTACCTGATCACTGGCCTGCTATTGGATGTGATGAATGTTACTCTCTGATATATTACTGACCATCAGGAGCCTTATTTGAAGTCTTTTATTTCTCTCAAGTCTTAACCGACATTGAAGTCGCTCAACGCTGCAATCAATGGAACAAGATGCGATCGTCCTGGGCGTTGGCAGAAGCGAAAGTCAATCCTCTGTGGCCCACTCCGGCCCGTGTGGGTGTGATGAAAAAAACTCCCGAGTGACCAGGTTACCAGGGAGTGTGGGCTTCTGAGAGCAGAACGAGGGAAAAAAGATGCCAGAATCTTGGGATGGATGGATGCTGGTTTGACGCTTGCTTGTTTCCTAGAGTGGATTAGTGGAATATACCAACAATCCTGGACATTTGACATTGTGTACATGTGTCTGTATCACACTATTGTCAGATGGACAACTGGTTACAGTGAGCCTAGGTATCTACAGCCTTAGTACTAGACAGCTGTCAAATACGACTTTGAGTTGGTATGAAAGTAAGAGACTTGGGAGATGTAGAAGATGAATACGGTACTAGCAATATGCACCTACCCATTTGTATTATCTTTGTTTGAGTGAGAAGGGAAGGTACGAATTATCGGGTTTCAGAACGCCTCGAGAAAGGAACCGCCGCTTGTTTGTTTGTACCTGCCTCGTGCTGAGTTGCGATCTGTTTCAAATCAAGGACTTGATAATACAGACTCTTGTCTTACTGGCAATTCCATACACGGCCTGTCGTTTGCTTCTCACACTGCTATAGGTATTATTGCAGTCAGAAACGTTTGCTGGGCAGTTAGAAGGTATCTATCCGTGAGCAATAGGTAAGCAGTTGAAAGAGAAGATGTCGTCCTCATAACGCACCGGCAATAGCTGGCCCAAGCGGCTAAGGTATAGTAGGTACTACCCATTCATCCACAGTTGATGTTTCTTAAGCTGGGGCAAGATCCATGCATGCAGTGGGTGTGAGGTGAGGATTGCATCTTGAATACTTGTATCTCAAGTCTCTTTTCCCCTCATCCGTCGGCCAACCCCACTGGATCCAATTGTCAATTGGGGAAGCAAGAAAACAAAATACTTATCAACAAAGTACCCCTCTATGTCGTTTTGGTGGTCATAGCTGCCTCTTCCTTCCCTTCCATGTGCTGCCCACCCCACTTCCATTAACGGGCTGCTGTCGTAGGTAGGTGAGAAACAAAGGTAGACAGGCAGGTACTGTACTACTGCTCCGATCTTTCTGTGTGGTCACTTGGTGTTTCGTTGTCTTGGTTCTGGCCCTGGGTTTGTGGTTTGTGGCAGTTTTAGATTAGAGGTTAGAGGTACCTACCTTAGCATGGATCGAATCGAAGCACAGGCTCATTATTGATAACCCATCACTTCCACATCTTCCTCTTCTTCCTCTTCTACCCTTCACCCACTTCACTTACGTTACGCACCTCTCTCTTCTCACCTCACCTTCACCACCTCTTCTTCTCTCTCCCTCTCTCTCCCTCTCCAGCTCCTCGCCCTCCGACCCCGCTCTACTCTCTCATCCTCCTCCTCCTCCTCTTCATCTTCGTTCCCGACTACCCATTACACCAGCTATTGAAGCCTTCTTAACCATACGCCTCCCGCGTATCGTTCAATAGCCCACTCACCCGCCTCCGCCGCCGCTTTCTCAACTGGAGTGCTCGCAACGACCCTTGACCCCGCTATCCCGCTTCGCGTACAAACAACTTGCCGCAGAAAAAAAAACACACTGCACCACCTCTCCATCTTGCTGCCCCCGCCTTCTCCAGCATATTCAACGTCCTCGCAGAACCCCCAGCGTCGACAACAAGGTCAGTAAATTATCTTTCCTCCTGTTGGGCTCTTATAAGAAGCGTTCCTCTTGTTACCTCATGACGTCGGTCATAACATGATGTGTATCCGCGCTTCAAACGTGCGTTGCAAACAAGGACGATCGTCCATATGTATTAGCTTGCGCCTCTAGGCATTCTCACACTCAGACAAAACCGTTGCAAGAGAATGTTCTAACAAATTTACAGAATTGATCAGACCACCCCTGCTCGTCTGTTCTTCTCGACCCCAAACACTTCATCCTCTCGAATCGCTTTTCTGCCTCTACGCTTACCCCGAACAACCTCATAGCAAAATGTCGGCTCCTCAGGATTCCATTCCCGGCAACGGCAGCGACATCCTTGATCAGATGGATCAACTCAGAATGGATGACCGCCTTGGACCTGACGGCGAACCTGCCCCTAAGACGGAGGAGGAGTATGCTCAGGCTCAGCTCACCCTTCGTGCGATCGTCTCTTCCAAAGAAGCCGGTGTCATCATTGGCAAGGGCGGCAAGAATGTCGCCGACCTTAGAGATGAGACTGGCGTCAAGGCTGGTGTCAGCAAAGTCGTGCAAGGTGTTCATGACCGTGTTCTGACCATCACTGGTGGTTGCGACGCTATCTCTCGCGCCTATGCCACTGTCGCTCGCGCTCTGCTGGAAGGTGCACCTGCTATGGGCATGGGAGGCGTTGTACAGAGCAATGGAACTCACCGTGCGTAGATAAACCATTTCACTGGGCGACAAACAATAGTCAAGATTTCGCTAACTAGGGATATAGCCATCAAGCTTCTCATCTCCCACAACCAGATGGGCACCATCATCGGAAGACAAGGTCTCAAGATCAAGCACATTCAAGACGCTTCAGGAGTCCGTATGGTCGCCCAGAAGGAGATGCTCCCTCAGTCTACCGAGAGAATAGTCGAGGTCCAGGGCACTCCTGAAGGCATTCAGCGCGCTATCTGGGAGATCTGCAAGTGCCTGGTCGATGACTGGCAGCGAGGCACCGGTACCGTTCTCTACAACCCTGTTGTTCGCACTCAACCTTCCACTGGTGGAAGCACTAGTGGTGGAACAGGATTCAGCCAGGGCTCTGGCAGAAGTGATTATGGCGGCAGCCCTCGTGTCATGCGAACAGGCAACGGCGCCGATTTTAGCAATGGTAGCTCAAGGCCTTACAACCGCCGCTCTGACTCCGACGCAGCTCTCCGAGGCCCCCCTACTCATGACGAGAATGGTGAGGAGATTCAGACTCAGAACATCAGCATCCCCGCAGATATGGTTGGCTGCATTATTGGACGTGCGGGCAGCAAGATCAGTGAGATCCGAAAGACGTCAGGCGCACGCATTTCCATCGCCAAGGTGAGTTTCTCAGTTTTGAAAGTATTAATCACACGACTGATCATATAAAACTCAGGCACCTCACGATGAGACCGGCGAGCGCATGTTCACCATTATGGGTACTGCCAAGGCCAACGAGTCGGCCCTCTTCCTTCTGTATGAAAATCTAGAGGCGGAGAAGATGCGCCGAAGCCAGCTTCAGGACGCCGAATAGTCGGTTGTTGACTGAAATCTCATTGATTTTTGCTTTTTTTTTCGTGTTCCATACGACTTGCTAAAATAAGTTTTGGCAAGGTGGGCTGGGGCACTCCAGATCTGACTTGCCGCGAGGCTCGTGTTTTCAACAAGGACGATACCAGCTGACAGCATTATGAGCGATTGAAACCACTTGTCCGACCATCAAACTCGTTTCTTTTATTGCTTCCTACCCTTCTCGCTGCCACCACAATATTACCTATGGTTTGACTTGTGTCGATTTCGGCTCGAGCCTCACCTATCGCCTTTTCATCTCTTAAAGCGAACCACGTTCTTTTGCGGCGCAATAACTCGCTACCGAACACTGTAGCCTCGTCTGTATCAGTTTTGCTCGCCGGACTTTTTGGCAATGGCATGCTTCCCCTTCAGAGGAAGGGTTCGTGGTTCTGTAGCGACATGACATAATTCTTCTTATGATCGCTCAACCAAAGCGGCACAGTCCGAAATGGTTATGGCTAATGACATAAAACATCCTCGAAGCCGGTAACGATAGGGACAGCGCAGCTCTCAGGGTCGAGAAGAGTACAACGTGACTCCTCTCTACAATCTCTACTCACACTTCGCGTCACCTTCCCCTCTCTTTCACCTCGCACAACTGTTTCTATCTCTCACAACCTCGGATCCCGACTTTGTCACTCGACCCGCGCCTCCCATCTTATCGCTCACATAATTCCCACATCACTCATCGCTCTCACATACACCCCTGACATTAACTACACTGGCTCACCCATTGTGTATTCAGTCCCTTGCGACCCAATACCCATGTTAAATAGCTCTTAATTCCATGTCGGAATCTTAAAGGATATTCTTAACTAGGGTGGATTTAGCTTGGGCAAACAGCCGTCAAATAAAACCGAAATCATGAGCATAAAGCTATCAATCTATCAATTAAAGTGAAATAGTACTCCTGTCATGTAATGCTGAGGGAACTCAATCGTAGTATCTAAGGCTGGTGGGAACTAACTCAGCCACTAAATGGACCCTTAGATGTGGCTGTGGTCTTTTCGGTGGGGCGTCGATCTCATGGTCTGAATTGAAGCCAACTTGTCAGTTTCATCATGGAAACATTGGTTGATTAAATTATCCTTTTTCCCGGCTCATTTCTCTTTTTTTCCTTCTTTCGTTCCTTGTCTCTTCGTTCACTCCTTAACAAATATACTAGATCAGGCCGGTTCATTTCTGAGCTCTCAATATTGTCCCCGCACCTCCTTTCTACGTTCTTTAATACATATTCTCGAACTCCTGAGGATGGCGCGCTCCAAGCAACCAGCCATCAAGCGCGAAGCTTCGTCCGAGTTCTTTAACAAGACAACCGCAACATGGGAGGATACTGATAAGTCGCAAAAGGGCGCTTCTAATGCAAACATTGTGAACAAAACAGTTGATGCCATGCCAGCCTCCGCGCAAGAAGCCGGGGTCTTGCAGCTTGTTATCGCCGTTGCGGGTATCTATGCTTCATTGTAGGTTGACTCTTCCCAATGTCCTCAGTTCAATTACTGATTTCGTCATTGCGAATAGCCTCACTTGGGCTTATCTTCAAGAGAAGCTTACTACAAAGCCTTATGGCCCTGCCGATGCACCGGAAGTCTGGCACTTCCCCGTCTTCCTCAATACCATTCAGTCCGTCTTCGCTGCCATTGTAGGCGCCGTCTACCTCTACGCCTCGACCCCCCGAAATGCCTCCGTCCCTCCCGTCATTCCCTCGCGCCGCATCCTTGCGCCTCTCGCCCTCGTCGCCATTACTAGCAGTCTTGCCAGTCCCTTCGGCTACGCGTCCCTGGCCCATATCGACTACATCACCTTCCTCCTTGCCAAGAGCTGCAAGCTGCTACCTGTTATGTTCCTTCACATCACCGTCTTCCGTCGCCGTTACCCTCTGTACAAGTACCTTGTTGTTGCGGCCGTGACCCTCGGCGTGGCTGTTTTTACTCTTCACTCTGGAAAGAAGAAGGGCAGCAAGGTTCGCTCCGATGATGCGAGCACGGGTTGGGGTCTCTTGCTGCTCGGCATCAACCTCTTGTTCGACGGCTTGACCAACAGTACCCAGGACCACATCTTCCAGACTTTCCGACCGTACTCTGGACCTCAGATGATGTGCGCCAATAACATTATGAGCACCATTGTTACGGGCGCTTACTTGATTGTAAGCCCTTGGTTGGTCGCCACAGGCCTCGGAGAGTGGTTCGGCATGGATGTTGCTGGTAACGCGGGCGAGCTCAAGGCTGCATTGGACTTTATGGCTCGTTATCCCGCTGTCTGGAAGGATGTCCTTGGTTTCGCTGCTTGTGGTGCCGTTGGCCAAGTATTCATCTGTAAGTCTTGATCAATCTTGTTCTTGTGATTGCCGGCTAATATGTTGTGAAGTCTATACCCTTTCCACCTTCTCTTCAGTCCTGCTGGTAACTGTCACGGTCACTCGAAAGATGTTTACCATGATTCTGTCAGTCCTCGCGTTTGGCCATCGCCTCACGCAGATGCAGTGGCTAGGTGTCGCACTTGTCTTTGGCGGCATTGGTGTCGAAGCTGGAATTGCGCGACAGGAGAAGATGGCGAAAGAGGCCGCCAAGAAGGCTCAGCAGAGCGGAAAGAAGGAACTGTAAAGAAATCAGTTGAGTTGTGTAGTAAACTACGTGTTGAGATTGGCAAGGATTTTGCTGGTATAAATCGAGCCGAGTGGGTGTTAGACAGAATGTCTTGCCAGACTCGCTATTCGATAGAGCATCAGATTAAACTTAGACAGATAGAGATGATACAAGACATGTCACGTAAAGTTGGAGCAAAGAATGTGAGAATCCATTGAGATTGTCACTATGTAGCTCCTCCATAAACTGGTCTGGCTGTTCCAAGACCTGTTTCTTCCTAAACGCCCTGCTGCTATAGCCCAAGACAGCAACTCGTCTTTCCCAGCCATAGCCTCATGCCCTTTCCCTGACGGGGTATTTGAGCCCTCCGCATGTTTCCCACAGGGGGTTCCATAAACCATACGCCACTCCGTTTTGTTGTCCAAAATGGACAAAGAGAAACCAAAAATATAAATGAAACAAGATGACAAGACAGGATGTCTTTGTCTATATTACACTAGGTCATCGTGGAACCATCCGACGCCATGCGCTGTGCGTTACTGAAAATAGCGAAGGTCTGTGTGTTGAAGAGGTAACGATTGAATAACATGGGTGACAAAGAAGATGTATTTTGATATTTGCGTATCGTCGTGCGGATAGTCAAAGGAATATCCGGGATCGAGGGTCGGATTAAGTGCAGTCAACATATCCGCCCCATTGCTCAAAAAGATAAACGCCCTGAAATGCTGAGTTCACATAGTTGTGTAGCGAGTGTTGAGATTATAAAAGAAATTTCAGACGAGACAATCGTCTCTTTTTCTTCCCTTAGGAAGTTGATTCGTTCGACTTTGAAACAAGACACTATAGTCAAGCTTCGTTATAAGAGATCATCAATTGATCTAATTATAGGTGCCTCACCCTTAGTGGGTGGACTCCTCGGGTCCGCGACAACTGGGGGTCTTCCGAATGTTGAGAAAGGATCGCGAGGGAACATGCCTGCTCGAGGGGAGAACAGGCCTTGACCCGGAGTTGGTGGGCTTTCCACAAACCGCATACCGGCAACCTCAGGCATATCGTGAAGCGGGTTGTTGGTCATTGTCTCTGCTCTGGGTGACAGTAAGGCATCGTCTTCTGGGTACGAGCCTGGAAGAGCTATTGTCCTTTGAAAAGGTGTATCGTTGAATTTCATTTCAGCCGGCGCTGGGTTGAATCTGGGGAAAGACATAGTCTGAAAACCGAAGCTCGCTTGCGAAGGGAATCCCGGGGATGGAGGTGGCTTCATAGCTGAGTCCATCATGGGAGATGGGGCCAGGTTCGAGGGGGCCAAGGTGGCTTGCGCTTCGCCCTGACTTGAAACTGGCCTCTTGGGCATATCGCCAAGCTTGAAAGGATTCAGCTTTTCAGAGGAGCGTTGCTCAACCTCATCCTTCCACGTACATGTGGGTGGGGCAGACGCTGGACCTGGTGAAACAGGCCGAGGCCCAGGTGTCGAGTTGCCTCTGAGCCGAGTAGGGCTGGAACTGAGGTTTGATTGTTGGGCGTCCTCGCCTTGTGTCGGAAGAGGTGCAGTCTGAGGTTCCTTGGGACCGATGTCAATGGCGTTGGCGGACAGGGTCAGTCTGTGCTTAGAAGGCTTGCGACCAGGTCGAGGGCGGTTAGAAGGTTGGGCCGTGCGCTTTGTTGACACTTCCTTCTGGAAGTCCTGCAACGAGTACATGAGCTTCATGTTTGGGCTGATCCATTGGCTCTTGGCTTGAGCCGCATAGTAGGCATCGTTAACAGTGAGTTCGGGTTTCTGAAATAGACCATAGGCAATAATCAAACTGGCAGATCGGCTAGCACCCTGTTGACAGTGAATGAGCACACGCTTGCCAGCCTTGGTTCGGCTATCGATCACGTTGCACAGGTTCATGAGATCCGGCGCAATGTCTGTGTTGTGGTCCCAAGGAATGTGAATGTACTCAGGCTCCTGGAACTGGAAGGCCTTGGGGGTTGTTGGTGTCTCGGCTGATTCTTCACCTTGGGGATACTCCCAGGCTGTCATGAAGCTGGCTGTTGACACGGCAGTGTCGGGCTCAGCGATCGACATAGGGCGTCGCGTAGCCCTGCGAACTTCGAAGGGGTTGTTGACTTCCCTGGCGCAGTTAATGACCACATCAAAGCGTGCTGCCTCGTCCGCTGTGGGCTCTGAGTAAAGAAACACATTGTCGTCGTAGATAGCAATTGGGCCATCAGGATACCCGGGGGTCTTCATGTCCTCGTTGTTCTCATTGTCGCGGTAGGGATCGTCGTCCCGGATGGCCATCTGAGTGCGAATAGGTGAATCCTCTTCCGTGATCGCAGAATGAATGGTAGTTGGCTTCAAGATTGACTTAGATGGGCGCAACACCTCTGAGAGTCCAGACTCGTTTCGCTCCAGTACCTTAGGAAAAGTCATACCGCCGGGTGGACCAAATGTCGCTGACTTGAGACCAGAAGACATGTGGGGGGAGGAGCAAGAATGCTTCAGAGCTCGACGCTGAAGCATTGGCATAGCTGGCGAAGGGGGGACTTCGAGAGTGGTCTTGTGAGTTAGGTCAGAAGTGTTTGTGTTCAAACTCAACTGGCTGGGCTTTCTTCTCATAGCAGGAATCGTAGGTTTGATAAATGATGGAGAAGCTGGCTCAGACACTAGCGAGATATTGGTTGTAGAAGTCGAAACAGCAAATGGAGGCTGAATGGAAAGACCCTTCATATTGCGTCCCCGTCGAGGCGAGGGCGATGTCATGGGTCGCTGTAGCCGAGGTGGCTCGCTCAACATAGTACTGCTGCCGGTATTGTAATTCATGTTGATGCTGCTGTTGACACCCAGATTGCCAAAGCTGGTGGCAGGGAAGTTGTTGAGTGGAATGAGATTCATTGGAGAATCGGGGGAAGATGAGGGAGACGCATCTGACAAAGGCGAAGAATCGGTTGTAGAAAGCGTTGTAGTAGGTGATGAGTCGGCAGACTCAGAGGTTTGTGTTGATGTGCTGTCATGGTGCTTGTGAGTTGGGTCGACAGGCATCATGCTCGGGGCAAGGCCATGCTGATGAGAGGGACCCATCATGCCAGGTCGCTTAGTGTCCATGTCGACAAACTTTGTGTCGACGAGTGTGACAGTGTCTTGGTCTGCCATAGTCTCGGCATCCAGGTCAAATACTGTCATAAATGGCGGTATTTGATCCTCGTACACTCTCCTGTCTGTAACTGACGGCATGTTTTGGTGGTTTAGTGAGTTATTCTGTGTGCGCAAAGAGTCGGAGCAGATCTTGAGACCAAGTATAGTCTCGCCGTCTGCGCGGTTGAGTTGGTTTGGAGGGTTAGTGCTGAGCGTTGAAACCACAAGTTGGAGACCGGTTGGTGTAAGTGTTGTTGAAATTATTTGTAAGGATTTAGAGAATTGAGCAGCCAGCAATAATTAATCCAATGTGAGAAACGAATGGTTTTCCAGGTCGCGGTGCGATCGAGAACAGGTCAAGTCGGTCGTTCGATGGTCAGCGCAGCTGATCCTGTCGCTGAGCTTTGCCGGGTGGTGGGCAGTGCTCGGTAAAAACGCACGCAATATTCTTCCTCGACTGATGGACGAGAAGATGGAGAAGAAAAAAAGATGCTCTTGGTGAGAAACAAATCGCGAGCTGGGACGATAGAATCAATCGAGAAAGAAGCTACTGTCGAATCTAGCGTGTAGCAGGGAGAACAAGTTAAGGAACGAGCCCAAATGAAGTGAGACAAAGAACTGGCGCCTCGACGATAGATAGGTAGATAGCGGCAGGGCAGGGCTGCGTGCGAAAGTGGCGCTGTCAGAGTCGCGAGATCATTATTTCCCTTTACTAGGGAGACCGAGTCGTCGTTCGAGGAGGAGAGGTTATATCAGACGTCTTGGACTGGTCTGGAGGAGGGTGAAGGGAAAGGCAAAAGAGAAGAAGATTGAAATTGAAGATCGAAGTGAGGAGAGAAGTGAGAGAGAAAGACGAGAGGAAGAGTAATGAAGTGGAGGGGAGTGTGAGACAGAGCGAGGACGTCTTGGGATTGGATTGGATTGAGTTTAGCTTCTGGGGGAGAACTAGCTCAGACTGCCATGGGGGGTGTGCGTAAAAGCAGTAAGTAGCAAGTAGCAAGTAGCAAGCAGCAAGCAGCCCAGCCCAGCCCAGGCGCTACCGGCGTACCTACTGTATGTATACTCGCTAACGACACAGTACATGCAAGCTTGCCCGGCTTACAGGGCCTGTCATAGGTAAAGTCAGCTGCCTGGTGGAGGCTCAAGGCCCTGCAAAAGGAGACCGAGCGCTGCCGACATAGCAACGGCGGCACCTAAAACAATTATTGAAGCATCCAGTCCAATCCAAGCCAATCCAGGGAAGTCTAATCCGGCCACAGCTGTACTTCCTTACCCAGGCTCTGAGTTGTAATTCAATATGGTGAACTGCAGACGGCGGCAACCTTTCTGTTTTCGCGACATGAAACAATCATACGCCTGGAATAGGCGACACTGAATGCGCTTGAGTAGCGGCAACTGCTGTGTGCGTGTGCGTGTGTAGATTATCTGCACGTGAAGAGAACCTAACGTAACGGAAGCAGAAGTAAGGAAACATGCGTGAGATGAGATGAAATGAGATCCTTAACCCCAACAATGGCACAAGAATCAAGAACAGCATCCATACGAAGCATGCACAACTACCCGGTCTGCCGGTATTGAGAACAATCGACAGCAAGTTCAGTACAATATTAGTCTAGATCTTCAGTAAAGCTGTGGTTATGAGTATTGCATCGAATATTGATTGTCGTGATGACTGGCCCTCAGGGTGTCATAAGAATTGGGCCCCGGAGCATGAGAGACGAAATAATTTGATCACCTTATGCCAGCTTAGGCTAGCATTTAGACTACTTTATTTCTGTAGCCTGAGTCTTGGAGGACATTTCTTCTGACACCCGCCTGCTGGTCAAATCGAGTCCTGCTTCCTGTGTCACTCCCTTGCCAGATGGCTACGGTGTCCAATAAGATGCAGAGGCTCGAATTAAACAAGGCCGGCTAGAACGCCTGAGAAGACCCAACTGAATTGCAATGAAGCGATGAGCAATCCCCATCTCATCATGGATCTTGCAGCTCTTTTCGCTCTCGTTAGGTTGCGTCGCTCTGCTCTGATTTGGGTGACTGCGAACAGAATGGGGCGAGCAGCTTCGAGGGCGCTACAACGAACCACTCACAAGTCATCTTAGCGGTTCCAAGCTAGCCACGGCTGTAAAGTCTGCTTTCTGAGTGGAGGACTCCCTGCACGAAACGCATCGGGGGTCCTAAATATAGATCTCGAGCAACACTCTGCAGCACTTCACAGCATGGAAGGCGCCTACGGCTAGCCAATCACAAGACCGGAACCAAATTGGGACTTGAGAGTTGCAGAACAAGGGGAGGGCAGGAGGGGGGCGGGGTGTGTTGGAACTTGGAAGTCGCGACGCCAGGACAAGGTCGAGGATTTAAATTTAAACCGCTGGCGTTAGGTACCTCCTTCCATGTCTACAGCAGAGCATGCACTGTGCTGTACCACTTTTGATGGCTACAACTCTACTCTACCTACAGCACCTACGGCACTGAATAGAAAACTTTACTGGCTATCAGCATAAGAGACAAAATAATTCAAGCATCTTATGCCTTTTTCAGACCATTCTTTGGATCATCTGTTTCCGTCATCCCCGGCACATGTCTCAGGTTTTCTGCTGCTGCTGCTCTCTCTCTAGCTACGATAAGTTAGTAGCAATGAGGTGCTTGCTTCCTCAATATGGATCGTTCTCTAACAATAATAATGGGTAATTTGCGATTGACCAACGATGGGGCTCCGGCTATGGGTCAGGTCAGGGCTATCAGAGATCTTGACCTTTTAGGAAACGATAGACAAGCGCGGGCTCGCTCAGTCAATCAGGAGTTATGAAAGACAGGTTCACTCGAGATTCCAACGTTTGGTGATATGCAGATCACCAGCTACCAGTACCGTTTTAATTCTATTCTGACCTAAGACTAATTTGTCATTCAGGCTCCTCCAATATAACCGACTCTGGACTTTTGTTATGTAGGTAGGGCTGCAGCTCTTGAGGAATTCCATCACTGACTTTCTTTGATAACTTACTATCTCTATACCTAGGTAGGTATCATTCTCAACCGCTGTAAAAGCGCCAAGTGCACGCCACTTCGTAACGCCGTTGCCGGTCTACTGTACCTAGGGAAAGAAAAGGGCGAGGAAGAAGCCTGGCCTCACCCCGGCCCGTCGCAACCCCGTTGTCCGTGATTCGGCCATCCTTTTTGCGTCACAGGTGGACAAGGGGTCCTCTGTAACCTCTCTGCAACTGCCACTGCGTGTTAGAGAACAGGCGCTCATCAAGTTCAGACGGGGGAGAAAGGGGGGCCCCTGTTCCTCCACCGTCAACTAACGTTACTGCGCCTGGCCCTGTCCAATCCAGTCCTGTCCTGTCCTGTTCAAATGTTGCCGTACGGGGCCGAATCCTACCAGAATCAAAGGTGCACTGGCTACCATCTGGTCATGGTCAATGTTGCTCGCTGGCCGGGCAGCAAGGAAGTAAGCGGCGTCATAAAAACTGGAACTGGATACGATCGAAACACGGGACACTCTCGCGTGGCCTTTGTTTGGAGTGTAAGGAGCCGAGCGCTAGAGCCTAGAATCTAATAATGCCCAGAACCCAGCAGGACCCAGAACTCAGAGGCTGAGGGCGACGAAAACTTGACTCCAGGCAAGTAAAGAACCAGAATAGATCCTGGTCAACTGACCTCCAGTACTATTTTCGTATTCTTGGAGTCTCTCGAGGAGTCGAGAGCTTTGCTGTTTGGTCACGTTGAAAGTTGAAAGCTGAAAGTTGAAACTGACTGTTAGAGGCCTCGTGGCTTAGCTTCGGCTTGCGCCACTGCGGCGTCTCCTCAGTCTCCATTTCTATTCTCGGCCAACTTGAGTCGAGACACCTCGGCTTATAGAGACGTCGGTATAGGCTACAGAGAGCAAGACTTGCGAAAGAGAGAGATGAATGTTCTGTTCCTAGACCAGGCTAGGGCTGCTGAGGTTGCGTTGGTGGAGACATCCAAGAGATTAACGACATATATTATTCACATGTCTCTACTACAACATAATACGATAAATTACCTATCTTTATCGGTCTTAGAGTTGACTAGTAGAGCAGACCCTTGAGAACTTGGGATATCTGTGCTCTTCTCGCCACGTTATTGACATTCATTACCCAGCAATGAGTTAGAGAGTGTGTGTGACCGTGCTGGAGCTAGACTGCCTTGGTAGTTATTTCCCACCGGTATGTCAAGTTCATATGGATTAATTACCGTACAGTATCTTATAGAGGGCACTAAGAAGAATACCCTTCAGCCACTTACCGTAGATAGTAAGGTAATCATAATCCTAGGTGGTTTGGTCAGACTCAGAAACACACCGGGCCGCAGTTTTTCTCTGGCTAGCCTCCTTCTGACGGCAGATCAGAAAAAAAAAGAGTGGTTCTCATGTTCTGAAACCCCTGGCTTTAGTCTCTCTAGTCTCTAGTGTCTGTGAGGAATGGAAACGGGAAAAACCCAGAGCCCCATCGAGTTTCAGCTTTTTCCCTCTTGTCCTTTTCCAAAGACCAAAGACGATCAGTGACCAGTGATCACCTGCCATATGCAGCTATAAGAAGAAAAAGAAAAAAAAACTTGATCAGACCGCTTGCTAGGGAAAACGGAAACGGCACAGCAGAAAAGTCTTTCTCAAATACGATTGGCTGTATGCACGTCAAATTGCTCGAGGGGCGATGGTTGCAACCCACATGGCTATCGAATCCTTTTTTTAGCTTCTTTCTTGCATTCATTCATTCAGAGTTCCCTTCAAATATTCTACAGTGTCATTCTGGTACATACGTACTACTACGCGCTAGAAGTCGATCCGTAGCTAAAAAGAACAGTAACGCAATCTACCCCTGCAGGGTTCCTGGGTTCGTCCACACTGCTGGCATCGTGTCCTGCCTTTGTAGGCAGTTGGGTCAGTGATAGTCATAGAGTTTGAGAGACAAAAGGAAATTCGATCCGTTCCTTTGGCGTGGTTCACCTGAATGTTGCAGCGCATATGTATGGATACTGTATAATGGATCCTCTGTCTAGGACCCGAGAGTAGAGTAGTCAGTACAGTAAATACATAACTGAGTGAGGCGGGTCTCGATCTGAAACGAGACTCTCTCAGT